ATGAGACCAATCGAATAGCTGTGAAAAAATTTTAACTCATTAAACAAAAATTCAATGATTTTTTTTTGAAATCAAACTTTTCGTCTCAAAAAAATACTTACATTTGAGAAAATTTTCATCAGCTGCTTTGCTTTCAAGTTATAAACTCGCTCATCAGCAACCGGAATAAGAAATTTTAACAGCAAATACAGATTACCATCGTAGCCTTCTGTAAAATAGCGATCTTTGTCATTGAAAAATAACGTAACAATTTTGCACAGTCTCAACGATTTCGCTCTTTGGAGACCTACGGCTGTGAAGATCAATTTGCATAATCTGTCACCGATACCCGCGACCTGCCGGCAAAAATGGTAAAAATCGCTGGTTGTGGTAGTAGCTGAGTTCCAAACAATACATTTATGCGACTGAGTTATGGACGAGTACGGAAGCTCCGTTATTAAATGGGATGTCACGGAAGTCTCTCGAAAAGCCGGCAAAATTTGAAGAGTGTATAAGTCATGAATGTTGTCATGAATGTAGCCCTTTCTCAAAAATTCCTCTGGTCCGGGAGGGAATCGAACTACTCCCTTTCACGTTCAGATGCAATGTGTTGCCACTGCACCACTGGTCCTTGTGCTTTAAGTTCAGCCTAGCAGCACACTTACTGTGTATCTGTCAAGATAAGACAGAGGCTTTTTCTTTCTTTTGTGGCGGCTTCTTGGCCAGCTTTTCACAGGTCTTTCGCAACAATATACGCTACTTGGAGGAACAGCATCAGGTGCTACAGAGATACTGGAGCGCCTATAATGCAAGTGGCGTGACAAGTGCTTCAGCAAGTATTTAGCGCACAAAAGCCGGTGGTGCAGTGGTTTAGTACGTTGCATTCGGATGTGAAGACGTGTGGTTCGATTCCTTTCCGGTCCATGCTTTTTTTTGGCAAAAAGAGGGTTCGCTCGCAAAATGTGGAACATAAGGTTTTTCGGTGTAACGGCAGGCACGTCACAAACCGAATGGTTCAAAGATGGTAAAGATGAGGAGTTAAATTCTCTTCCATACCACCCTATTTCTTGCAAAAGGGGCTTTGTTCCCAACAAGAATGCTACACTAAGGCATCACCCCCAGTATTTCGGGATTCAAAAAAAGTCAAGAAATTTAAGTTTAAAATTCTCAAATTCGACACAGTCTATGGTTTAGTTCTAAATCCAACGTATCGTTATTTTTACCTTAAAAAAAATCCGAAAATTTCCAATTCAAAGTGCCATTACCTTTATTGACGAAGATTCGGACAGCCTCCGTTTTCTCAGTGTATTTCGACACAGACCCAATTACACCGCAAAGTTTGCAAAACAGCTTGAACATATCGAATTTGCTGACGCTTTTTGCAGTATCTTGCTGTTTTTCTGAACTGGATTCCGTGCGTTCTACCTTCTTCGCCTTGCCGGATGTTTTCTTCGAGCTAGCTTCTGCAGTATCCACTGGTTTAGCCCTTGTAATCCTACTGGATTTCTTTGTACTGGATTCCGAGGTATCTGTTTTTGCCGCCCTACCGGACGACTTTTTTCCGCCGGATTCCGCAACATCCTTTGCTTCTGCTTTCGTTTCTTCACCAGATGGTTCATCGCTTTCATCATAACTTTCTGTAACATGCCCCTTTTTCCCTTTCTTTTTACTCGTCGAAGTCTTCGAAGCGGCAGTTTTCGCCTTCTTTGCAGCTGGTTCATTCGATTTGCTTTTCACTTTTTCTTTTTTTGCTTTTAGAGGGGCATCTTTCGAAATGGATGACGTGGTTGCTTCCCCGGAAGATGCGGCGTGCTTTTCGGGTGATGTAACTGTAACTTTTATTTTATCACCGAATTTTTTGAGGCGTATTTCGGCGAGACTTTTGATTTTTTCCAGGATACTTTCTTTGTCGTCATCGGTCGCCGCATCCCAACCTTCAAATTTAGCTAGTCAATTTTACAGGAAAAGTAAAACTATGTTTTATATTAAACGCTAAGTTACATATTACGCTTAGGCAGGGCCGTAAACACTATTCAAGGGATAGATATTAAACAACAGTGAGATGTTTTGTAAATTTTAAAGACTGAAACCAAGAGAAGAAAGGAAGAAAAATGGCAAACTTAGCGAAAATTGGGATATTTCGATATATTAAGTGGCACAAGTCTTTTAAAAAATAGAGTATATTAACAACGGATGAAAGAATAGGAAGTGTAAAAAAAGTAGATGAGAAATACAAAATTTGTAAATTATAAAAATTATTTTAGTGGTACAAAACGTTTTGGTCCATTAAATCTTATACATTTCTTACCATTACCACAATTGGAGCCGCAATAAGTGAACCTTACAAAACCAACGGGTTTGGTATAAATCATTATTATATAATAAAAAAGGTGTTAATGACAAAAAAAGTAAGAAAAAAATATTTGAGAGTGAGCAAGAAGGCAGTAGAGAAGAAAACAGAAGAAAACAGGTTCTCAATAGTAGCAGCAAAAAAGCATTTTTACCAAAAATACCTAAGTCAAAACCAAATTTTCAGGTTGTTAATTAGTCAAGGGGTCACGCAAAAGCAAAATTATGCCAAATTCGAGCTGGATAAGCAATACAGGTAACACATTCTTTGCCTTTACCATTGTCCTGTCCTCCAGAATCTCAAAATTCCCCCTTCTTCCTCCTCGTTCCATAAGTTCAAAACTAGCTTTTCTCAGCTTTTCATTTCTCAAAAATCCAGGATTTTTCATTTCGGTTTAAAATTTCAATATTTTTGAAAAATGCCTCGTTATAACACACATCGGATAACAAAACTGAGCAGGATATGTGAAATTACAAACAACGTATGTGCAAAAAAATCTTTTGGAATTTGAAAAAATAGTTCTCAAGACTTTCTGATTACCTTCAATATCATCAGGTGAGTCGATAACTTTTGTTGTTGCACGACTACGTAACAATGTGTCAAACATGCAATCCGGATGATAATAAGCCTTCATTTCGGTTGGATTAGCTGAATCTGCTGTAAATGGATTCGGTACCATTCTCCACATTCGTAAATCCTGAAAAACAGCAGTGATATTTTCACCTAGTTTCCATGAAAACTTGCAGATCGCTAACAGCAGGAATGGTTTCTACGCTGCAGTTTAACATTCGGATTTATACTGGCAGTGCTTCTGCCTCTTCCCGTATGCAGGGGGGAAAGGGTGTCGGCTGGGATCAGATGTTGCATTATGGGCTCGCACAGGCCTCCGGCGTGCATGACTCATTTTACATGAAAACCGGTCGTTTTTCCGGTGAATGCTCGTTCACTGAAGAAAAAGAATGCAGTTTTATGTATTTTATAATATAGAGCACTCTGCATTCCGATATCCCTGCTGACACCCCATATTAAAATAATCGTATTTTTTGAATACCCAAGTAATGTTAGAAGGATACACGGAAAGTTTCGAATGCGATTAAAGAATGTCAGCAAGAAGACGCTAATCGCACGCGAAAAAAGCTGTTCCGTGACGTGAGGAGGCATACTTTGGCCCTTATCAGTGGAAGTTTTACGTACTTTACTTTCACTAATTTCCATATAATTAATTTTAATATAACATAACTAATTAAAATTAAAATCAAATTTGCACTAATTACCACAACCGTCGTATTGGCGAGGACCAATTGTGGTAATGGTAAGAAATTTATACATCTTATTGCACCGAAAGATTTCTTACTATTATGATAATTTTATTAAGATATTTTACAATTTTTACTAATTTCTTAATATTATTTGCTTTTGTCTTCTTCTTTCAACTTTAAAATATTTTCCTATTATTCTTTCGAACTTACTCCTTTTAGTAGCTGTTGTTGGCATTTTTTACATTTAGCCATTCGTTTGGCGTAATCAAGACCAAATTTTGTTGGCATCACTGCTTCTCACATCGACACACTTCAGTAGATCTCAATATACTGAAATTTCAGACTTAAAAAAGTCGAAGCAAAACATAAAAATAATAATTTGTCTCGGAAGGTATTTCGGAATTTGGATTGGAAAAATGGTCTGAACATCAATGGCGAGCAGCTAAATCATTCGAGAAGCTTCACGGATGACATAGTTCTTACTGCCAACAGTGACTGCGAAAAATGAAAGACAGGGCGGAGTATATAAATACAAATGTGTAATGTTCAAAAACAGTGAGTAATACATAACTAAACAGACAAATGAATGATTAAAGCATGTAAAAGCACAATTTGGCGTTTGGTTTAGCGTCTGAGAAATGCTACAAATTTTTGCACATATTTTTTAACATTCGTTGAAAGTGGCCAGACCCTCAAGCTAAACCGTTGATGAGAATCGTTCGCATCAAGGAGGAGAGAATGCGGAAGATGTTGGGAAGTCCGTACAATTACCACGGAAATTACCAAAACTCGGCTTAGTTCGGCTCGGCCGGCGCCATACTCGAATTGCGAAGATCTTTTATTAATGACGGCGGGTAGTGTTACCCAACGAAGAGTCGCGGAAGCACGAATGTGGACAAGGGGGAGGGGGACGAGGCCTCCCTATTTATGAAACCGATGCTTAGGTAAAACTGTGAGCAAATGGGCTCGATTGGATTTACACAAAAATTCCACGCAATTCCAATATGTGTTGCCTTTGGCAGCCTACATCTGTAACAACACTTACACCTCTGCTTTTTTGCCTCCAAAATCTTACAGAAGCAAAGCTTAACTTCATCCCTACGCATCTAACTTACCTCTCTTTTGCTCAATTCATATCACAGTGCAGCTCATTCGCTCTTAGCTTTATCTAAGTATCAGCTTCATAAATGAAGTCCCTGCAGACAACGGGTTTTTATAGGACAATTTCCACTTAAATAGGCCTGGTTTTTTTTGCGTTTCTTTTTTACTTTTATCCATGGGTTCCGATTCTCTGATTTTGCTTTTTTTTTTAGTTTTATTAATAAGCTCAGGTTTGCTTTAATTTACTTTCTTTTGTGGTGCTATGTTGTCTCTTTCTCTCTACTGCTATCTCCAGTTCTTGCCTCGAGCTCTTGACTTGTATCCTCGTTGCTCTTCTCCACTCTGTCCAAAAATCCTCCCTGCAAGGCGACATCTGAATTCTTCATCCCACTGTAAGAGCACTCTGGAAGCAAGCAATATTTCAGCCTTTTCCCTACCTCGGGTATCCGTGGGAAAAATCAGCAGCACACTTCCTCTTCCTTTCCATCCTTCCCCCTTTTTCCCTCCGAATGTATGTGAACTAGCCAACCGACAAAGGACTTGCGCCATGTAGCCGTTAAGTCCACCTATCTTGATCCTCCCTCCAAATCCCTCCCCCCCCCTAACTAGGAACGGAACCCGTGGCACAACCTCCTCACATGCAACATCCAAGTTCCCGCCATTCGTCGTGGGGTAACTTTCCCCGCCGTTACCCAGGAAAAATTTTTGCAAATCGTGTATGACACCAGCCGAGCCGAGCCGAGTTTTAGTACTTGCTGTTGCAACGTGGCCTTAAAAGGATTTAAGTAAGTCTCCGACGGATAACCTGAGATACCTCATAAATTTTTAAAGATATCGTTGGTAAAAGCCCCAGACATCCCAAAAATCAACGCTTCTCGGGCCCCCTCTCCGCCCCTTCCCC